AACTTTGGTCTCACTGATTTTATATACTGTTTGTCTTTTTCCTTTTGTATTAATTTCTACTTTTATTATTCCTTTCCCTTCTATTTAACTGAGATTTAATTTGCTCCTTTCCAACGTGTTGAAGTTGGAAGATTAGGTCATTGATTTTGTAACCTCCTTTTCTAACATAAGCATCTAAAGATAATTTAAATTCTTTTTAAATTTAAAGGAAATGGATATTCTTTCAAATTTTATTTCTCAAAATACTTTTGCCTTCAATTTTGAAAAAAATTTTCTGTGTACAGAATTCTAGATTGGAAGTTTATTTTCTTCAACACTTGAAAAATGTTTGCTGTCTTCTGATTTGCACTATTTCATTGGGAAGTCTGATATTTTTCCTATTTGTTTCTCTTCATGTATTATGTTTTCTATTTTTGTGTAGTCTATAGATTTTTCTCTTCATTGCTGATTGTCAGCAATTTGATACTGACATGTTTTGGTGTTGTTTTATTTGCATTTATCCTTCTTGAGATTGCTCTTGGGGTCTGTTGATTTATAGATTCCATCAAATAGGGAAAAATTTGATCATTTCTTTTTATACATATTTTTCTCTCACTCTTTCCTTTTTTTCTGGGACTTCAACCATACATCTATTGGAACTCTTGATATTTCCCACATCTCTGTTCATTTATACCATCTTTGTTCTCTCTTTGGTTCATTTTTGGTTTCTTTTGCCGTGCCCAAGTTCACTGGGTCTTTTATTTAGCCGCCTCTCTGAGGTTAATAATAATTCAGTGACATTTTCCCTTCATGTGTTAATACTCTTCATCTTTAGAAATATTAATTAGTTCTTCTTTACATCTTTCTCTCATTGCTTTCTTTCACATGACTGAGTGTAATTGTAATAGCTATCTTAAAGATTTTTCTGCTAATTCACTGCAGTATCTGTTTTTTTTCTATTGATTCTATGGCCGATTTTCTCCTGGCTATGGTTCAAAGTTTTGCTTCTTCATAGACCGCAATTTTATAACAGGTGCTGGACATTGTGAATTTTATGCTGTTGAATGTTTTCTGTTGTATACATTTAAATACTTGGACTTTGGTTTTACAGGAAGTTACATTCCCTATGAATAGTTTGATCATTCTAAGATTTGTTTTTCTTCTTCTTCAAGTGAGTCTAGAGTATCTTTTACTTAAGAAGTAATTTAGTTCCTATACAAGGGTTATCTCTTCTTGGGTGTCTACTGAATGCTTCATATATTGAATAAGGTCTCTTTACTTTGACCCATGGAAATAAGAGTAATTTCTAGCTCTATATTAGATCTGGCAAGTTTTGACTCACAGTTCTGTGGTAACTTGGTTTCCCACAGTAACTGCTCGTTGGTGGCCTTGTGAAATTTCTCAGTACACACATACAGATTGGCATTCAGCCAAAGAATTTCTGGAGCTCATTCTCTGCATAGTTCCCTCATTTCCAGTGTTCATTTCTACAAATTCCAGCCACCTCTCTGAGGTCCAATCTCTGTCTCATAACTTAGCCAAAGTGATGACCCATCTTTGGGCTCTTCCTCCCTGCACAGACCAGAAATTGCCTCCAGGTATGAAGCAAGGGCAGTAGTGGGTCTCTTTACCCTTCTCTCAGGGATCACAGTCCGGTGCTGCTTTTTACCCAATGTATGAAGAAATTATTTCATATGTTTCGTCCAATTCTCTTTCTTTCTTTCTTTCTTTCTTTGGAAAGAGAGTGCATACATAATCAGGGGAGGGGGCAGAGGGAGAAAGAGAGTCAGAGACAGAGACAGAGAGAAAGAGACAGAGAGAGACAGAGAGAGAATCCCAAGCAGGCTCTATGCTTAGTGCAGAGCCCAAAGCAGGGCTCCATCTCATGACTATGAGACCATGACCTGAGCCGAAATCAAGAGTTGGACGCTTAACCGAATGAGCCACCCAGGTGCCCCCCATCCAATGATCTAATTGACTATAGCAAGAGGAAAAGTACTGTTACTTCTTTATGGGTGGCAGGTAGAGTCCTGGTCTTGCTAATTTTCTTGTCACTGGTCTGTCATGTACTGAGAAAGGTGAGTGAAAGTCTTCTCCTACTAAAATATTTGTTTCCCTTTTAATTTCTCATAGTTTATAGTTTAGAAATGTTATTTGTTCTTCCACTACTCCAAGTTGTTTCACATTCACTGCAATTTGTACCATTTGGCATTATAAAGTGCTTGTTTAATTCTCTTCACCCTCAATTTCTTAATTAATATTAATACCATGTTTTATGCTTTTAATTTGTATTTTCCTTTCCTGTAATTTGCTTTTCAAACTTTATGAATTACTTTTTTTTTAAGGCCTGTTGCTTGTATACAGAATAGAACTGTTTTGTTCTTGAGATATAATCAGAGAGTAGTTTTTTTTTTCAAAAAAATAGGTTTTCTTTGCAATATCTCATTAGACTTCACATTTCATGTTTTACTATTTTTTCTAATCTTTAATTATGCGGTTGGATTTCTTTGTGAGTTCCTTGTGTATTGTCTTCTGATATTCAGGAAGGTTTGGATTTTTGTTCTTATGCTTATTTTTATTGTAAGTTTAATAGACATTGCTGTCTTTCTTTGGACAAATCCATTTGTTTCCAAGTATGAAAAAATTTTGTTTCCCATCCTTCCATTTCCCTTCCCTTTCCTCTAGCATCCCATTATCTCCTTTACACTTTATATGAACTTATAATTCCATTACTTGATTGTTAGCTTTGAATGTTCTTATTTGACTCCTAATTATAGTTGAGACAATCTGCAAACTTACTCTACTTCCCATCTCATTCACATATGCCCTCAGATATTGTATGAATTATCATCATTTCCACATTGTCTGGGTGCTGAATAACTACAATCATATTGATTATTCTAACACTATGTTTGTTTTTGGTTTTGCTTTCTTCATTTTAATTCTACAATTAACATATCAAATGCTCACAATGGCCTTTTTCGCTCTGGCTTCTCCAATCATTTCTTTGTTAGCTGGGTAAAATAGTTTTTTTTTCCAAAATTCCTTGGTGAGTATACATCATCTAATAAGTTTTGCTGATCTTCTATTTATTTGCTTTCAAACCATTTTCAAACATATTTTATACATTACACAGATGTACAGTATAGTATGGTAGATAATAACCATATAAATCACGTAGAATAGAATATCCTGCCTTTTTCCCTACAGTCTCTTGTCATTGGTGCTGTGCCTGCTACTTTTGTATTATTCCTCAAGAAACCAGATTTTTCTTTCCCGGCTACCGGAAGAAGTTTCTTTCAAGGAGAGTATTTTTGCCGATATTTTCTGAGGTCTGCTGCCCTCAGCCAGCTTGGAATTTGCTCTACCCTGGAGCTTTTACTATCACTTACCGAGCACAGCTTCTGCGCTCACCTTAGCTGCTTTGAAACCCTAATTAGCTTTCTGAGATTGTGGATTTTGTTTTTGTCTCCTAGTTACCCCGACAAAGATTCTGTGGAGGTTTTCTCTATTTGCATCATTGATTTTGTACAGTATCCAGAAGGAAAAGAATCTCTGTTTCACATCACCATGTGCACAGTGGAAGTTTCCCTGGTGACCCAACAAAGCTTCCCTTCTCTTTTCCCTTTGTGAATATGCAGTTGGACAACATAAGTCAATATGGCCTTTTTTTCCCTTTTTTTGCAGTTTTCTCCCTGTTTCTAGGCAGTTACAAGATTGTTCTCATCTATACTGTCACCCCGTTCCCAATAAAACTCACCAAGTTAGGTCTATACACAATCCAGACTCATTGTCACTTCCCTAGGTGACCCCACATATTTACCTATAGGTTCTGTCAATGAGATGCCCTAATATTCCACTGCAGATAATTTTAAGAAAGGGTATGAGCCTTGTGTATTTTTAGTGAGTTCTTAATCAGGAGAAAATGGAATGAGTGAGCTTCTGAATTGGTATTAAGATCAGGGATTTGCACCCCAATATTTCCATATCAACCAGGACCAGAATCACCAGTATATATTCGAGAATTTAAAAAGGGAAAATAAGGGGCACCTGAGCGACTCAGTCGGTTAAGCGTCCGACTTCGGCTCAGGTCATGATGATCTCCCGGTTCCTGGGTTCGAGCCCCGCGTCGGGCTCTGTGCTGACAGCTCGGAGCCTGGAGCCTGCTTCGGATTCTGCGTCTCCTCCTCTCTGCCCCTCCCCCACTCATGCTCTGTCTCTCTCTCTCTTAAAAATAAATATTAAAAAAAAAGTGAAAATAAGTGAAAAAAATCATCCTAATCTTGAGATAGTTTTGACTCTTTATACAGAATGAAATTCATAAGTTATAGCAGACCTAGCAATAATTGGAGAGACTATGAAATTCCATTGTAAATTTAAGTTACCTGTTAGGCTTATTATTTTAGTAATCCTGGAAAAGGAATAGTGTCAAAGGTGTTATTTCAAAATCCTTAAAACCCCAATCTTGTTTTCCAGCGTCACTCATTGGATTGGACTTTCGGTTTTCCCATTTGGCTTATTTGCATGTGAAACTAGGTTTAATAATCACATTCATGTGCTCCTTACAATTTATTGATTCATTTGTTGCTTAATATATCTTTGGAGTGAGAAATGGAAAAGTGTCCCAACGACAGGCGAAGCGAGCATCGTTGTCACTTTAGAAATATGACCGATAGGGGCGCCTGGGTGGCGCAGTCGGTTAAGCGTCCGACTTCAGCCAGGTCACGATCTCGCGGTCCGTGAGTTTGAGCCCCGCGTCAGGCTCTGGGCTGATGGCTCAGAGCCTGGAGCCTGTTTCCAATTCTGTGTCTCCCTCTCTCTCTGCCCCTCCCCCGTTCATGCTCTGTCTATCTCTGTCCCAAAAATAAATAAAAAACGTTGAAAAAAAAATTAAAAAAAAAAATATGACCGATAATTGAGAAACATTTTTGGTGGCCAATATGGGTACCTTTGGTAAAAATAAATTCAAATCTATGTTTAAAACTCTATAAAAATAAATAAATGACTTTTTCATTTTTCAGATATGGTCTTACAAGGGGGTTACACTACAGACTATTTGTTTCTTGGAAATTTCATTTATACGGTAAGATTACCCATATGATTCAATCGCTTTTTCTAGAAAGTTTTTAATTGAAAATTTCAAGCATTATAAGAAATCCGTAAGTTTTAAATCTCCCTCATGCTCCCATACTTTTTCCAAGGAGGAACAGTGGTTGCATATGCATGTGTGTTGTGTGTGTGTATATATACACACACATATGTAATTTGTAGGAATGTGAAATACATGTACCTAATGTATATTATCCTCTCTTCTTTTGTACAAGTAGGGAGATGCTCTTTTATATCTTGTTTTTTCACTACACAGCGTACCTGCGTGATGGTATTTAACTAGTCTCCTATTAGTGGAAAGATTGTTCTGGGTCCTTTGCCATTATGAACAGTGTTGCAGTCTATTCTTTATGCCCATGGGTAGGTAGATCTGTAGGATAAATTTCTAGAAGTGTAACTGGCTGGATCAGAGAGTACTGTGAATCTTGGAAATTATTACTAAATTATCCCCCCAAAAGGTTGTACACAGTCATGAGAACATGAGTCACAGTTAGGTCTATACACAATCCAGACTCATTGTCACTTCCCTAGGTGACCCCACATATTTACCGCCCCCACTGGCGGTAGTCTCACCACACTTTTTGATCTAGTAGGTAAAATGGTATTCTATTGCAGTTTTTGCTTTGAGGATAGCATATTTGCATGAAGTAAAAAAAACCCTTTCATTTCTTTTGCATGTGTGTGTATAAAAGTTTGTTGAATTACTTTACCAATTGTCCTACAGGGTTGTTGGTCTTTTTATTATTAGTAGTAGATATTTGTGTGTTAAGGATGTTAATTTTTCCCCCATATTTGTTACATAAATGTATTTCCAGTTTTGCATATTATTTTTCATGCCATTTTTGTCATGCATGTATTCTGCATGTTGGTTTTATGTAGTTAAATGTATTGATATTTTTCTTTATGGCTTCTGAGTTTTGTGTCTTATTCACAATGTTGTATGTTATTCTTTTGGTCTGCAAGTGGAAACATATTCCTCTGCATGTTTGGTTTTTTTTTTTCATTTAACAACACATGTTGGAACAACAAAACCACAAACCATGTTTTTCCTCATGTTTTCTTCTACATAAGAAGCAATTTATTGGCATATTGCCTCTTTTCACTTTAGCTGGTTGTCGTTATTACTTCATGATAATGGGCGTGGCTTTTAACTCTGTGTTACATCTTCCTAAACATCAAATGAGGTTAGGTAGTATTTTCTTATTTATTTGGACATACGCATATAGTAAATTTCCTTCTTTTCAAACCTCCTCACATATAGACATGCATGCATACAAACATAAAAGATATTCCTTGTTAAGATGCCGGAGTAAATTGATATAAAGGAATCTCAACCTCCTAAGACAAAAAAATGAATATATACAGTAAAACCAGCAACAACAAACTACGGCAAAATCAACTCAGCACAGCAACCAAAGAAGTAGAGGGGACTGCACCAATGCTAAAAACCTCAAAACGAGATGTCAGGGGAGAAATGGGAGAGTTGGCAGGGTCAGCATGGTGACATCACTGATCCAGCTTTCCTGACATGCTGTTCCCAGTGCCAGTGAGTTGGAGGAAGCACTAAGCCAAAACAGAGCAGCTGGAGGAATGGAGTAAACCTCCAGGGAAGTAGAGTCTGCCTTGATGCTCTCAGGGAATTAAAGAAGGCCAGTGGGACTAAAGCACAGTGCAAACTGTGTGGCGGGCAAGGGAGGCTCAGGATAATGGCAAAGACGAACTTGGAGTGGTAGGTAGGGGCCAGTGCCTTGCCACCTTTAAGGTTTTGGAGAAGCTTAGATGGGACGATGCAGGCTAGCTGCAATGCTGAGTCTAGAGCGAGAAGAGTGGACATAAAGTCTGCTTCAAAAGCAGGACTTTAAACACCGAGTGTATCACACGTCTATTGTTGCACAGGAACCCACATTGTGACAAAATCATACTTAATGGAACACTGAAAGCTTTTTTTTTTTTTTTTTTTTTTTTTTTTGAGATTAAGAATAGATGAAAAGTAAGAAAGTTGCTTGGTTTTCCCACCTTTCTTCGCCATCGTGGAGGAGTAAGATAAGGGGAGGAGCACAAGACGTTGAAAGGGGAAAAGCTGGTTTTCAACCATAGGTGACACAAGTGTACACGCAGAAAATACAAAAAAATTCTACAGATAAAATATTACAGTTACTAAGAGAGGCTGGCAGCTTGCTGGATATTGGCCAATATTTAAAAAATAAGAAATTCTATTTCAATATACCAACAATAAATATTTGGAAAATAAAAAATTTATATACTATTTTACCATTGTATCAAAAATAGGAAAAACATGAATAAATCTAACAAATAACATCCATGACTTCTGAGGAAAATTATAAGACTTGATTGGAAACATTAAGAACGTCTAAATGGAGAAATATACCATGCTCATTAATTGGAATACTCAATACTATAAAGGAAGTCAGCTGTCCTCAAATTGATTTATAGATTTACTGTAATCCCAATCAAAAGCCCCAGATGCCTGATGAGCTATTTCTAAAGTACGTATATGTCCAAATGCAAAAGGCCAAGAATAAGCCGATTTCAATCTCCCTCGTTCAACTGTGCTTTTTATCGATGGCACTTGGATTTCTAATCAGAAAGAACTCTTCCATTCCATTTATAAAGAATGTAAATATGAGCTCATGATAGAAGCATGGCTTTTGTCATATGTTGAAGGGCTTCTAAATATGAAGCACTTGTTGAGAGGCCATACATTCTCTCCTTAATTAAAAGCTAGTAAAGCAATTAGCAACTATGGCACCAGAGTCCACTGGACATGGAGAAGGGGGGTCGGGGGTAGGGGGAGTCAGGGAGTGGGGTGATGTGGACCCTAATGGAAATTTTAATACATTTTCCCAATCTATTTTTCCCCTTTCCATCTCTTTGCACAGTATGTAGTTGTTACTGTTTGTCTGAAAGCTGGTTTAGAGACACTATCTTGGAATAAAGTGAGTATTCTTCAGGGTAGTTCCTCAATCCAGTATAGTTGTTTGCATGTTGATTTACTTTTTAAACTTTAGAAAATAAGCATCTTGCTCTGTTCTTCATATCTTACCTTCTTTTGTTTTGCATATTGAAATGATTTAAGCTGATGATGGCATGTTAGCCATCTAATGTTTTTAAAAATTCATTTCCCTGCCTTATATCTTAAATAGATTCAATTTATCATGATATTAATTGAGATCCTTAATTATTATTATCCAAGTACCGAACTATAATAGAAAATTTAGCGAATACAGAAAAGGAAAGAAATAAAAATTGCTTATACGTTTCAATGTCAATGACATGGACATTTTGGTTTCTATTTTTTCAGTCTTTGTTTTATTTGTTTATTTTTCATAAAAATAGAATTCTAATGTACCTAACAGTTTATGATTTGCTTTTTTCACTAGACACTAGATCTTTAACATTTTTCCATATCTTTAACATTTATACCTCATTTAATGACTGTATAATATTTTATCACTTGGAGACTTATTATGTATATTTTTAGAATATAAAATTTTAGAATATAAATTTTTAACTTCGTTACTGTAAATGATATATAATCAGTACTGTTATGAACACAGATGTACTTGTGTATTTACAGACACGAGTAATAATTTCCCTAGGATATTATTAAAAGTGGAACTTCTGATACGTAGAATGTTTTTATAAACTGATCAGTAATTTAAGTGAATCTATATGTAGGTACATATACACCTATAAATAAGTTGTTTTCCAAGCTGCACTCAAAAGTTTATGACAGAAAATGAATTTTAACCGGCCTGTCACTTTTGGAGAGCTAAGATTATGTAGCATATCATGAGTTTCTGCGCCAGTGTAATCAACACAGTTCTCACTGCTACTGTCCCCAACTGAACATCAACACAAAGGTGGGACTGAAGTGTGCCGAACAAAAATTATTTTATTAGCAATTCATAAGGCACACCACTTGTAAATGTGGTACTATACTGCATTAATGTAACATAAACAGGCAATTATTTTCTATTCCTCCTTTTAATTGTTATTAAATTCCCTGCAGTATGAATGTTTCTTAGATCCACGATGACCTTACACTGTCCACATACGGTGAATCTCATTTATGAATACGGCATCGTTTCAAGGCCAAAGCAGACTTAACAAAACACAGAGGTCTCTTCTGGCCCACAAGCTCCCAGGCTCCTGCCCTCCAGCTCACATGTTGGCCAGGAAGGAGCCTGGGGATTAGGGCAGCAAAGAAAAGGGACTAGTTCTCCCGTTTGGTCAGAGGCTGCTCTGCCCTGTGTGGAGAGTCCAGGAGGGAGCTTGTGCTTCTTCACTGGGGAAGAAGATTCTGCAAGCCACTATTTAGGTACAGAGAAGGAGCCAGGGCAGAGATAACAGAATAGATCTTAGAGCAGCAATGGTGGCTTACTGCCGTCCCCCAGGGGATGGTCCCGACAGAAACCCGCCTGGGATCCAAGCCACGCAGAATGCCTCACATTGCAGCTCATGTTTATGCCAACTCTAAGGGAATGGTTACACGGAAATGCACCCAAGTGTTAGAAGAGTTTAAAGCTCCCACTCTTGAGCGGATTCTCTTCTCCATCAGCTCCTACGTGACCACAAGAGAGAAATCCTTTGAGTAAGAGATGATTTCCAAAGAGCGTAAAAAACTGCCTTTGAAAGTGACTCATAAACAAGCAACAATAAATACTCTAATAAACAGCAGATTGGGGTTTTTCCCTCCATATTTTTTTGTTCAGATAGGATTAAGCAATGAGCAGTACCTACTAGGATGACAGCACTTGAGCCCTTAAGAAATCATCTCATCTAACAAACTGAGGGCTGATGGGGGTGGGAGGGAGGGGAGGGTGGGTGATGGTATCGAGGAGGGCACCTTTTGGGATGAGCACTGGGTGTTGTGTGGAAACCAATCTGACAATCAATTTCATATACTGAAAAAAAAGAAATTATCTCATCTAGCGAACCACTGATTTATGCATAGATGATAACTCTGAGGTACCCAGTGCGACCAGGTTTAGAGCACAGGTCTCCCACTCGTTGTCATTACAATTCCTCTGCTAACACAAATCACACAAGGCAACAGATCAGATCAACAGAAGGACCTGCCTTCTTATCATTTACCATTAAGAATTTGGCAGTTTCTAGCCCCAGGCACAGACAGTGATCCTTCACCCAAGATTACCTTGATCTGACTGACATAGGGACTTTATATGCACAGAAAACCCTCCAGTTTCATTCAGTCTAAGAATCACAACTTCTGCCATTTTCCCAGAATTATTCATGCAGGACAGATACGATAAAGTCGAATTTTTACCCCTCTCGATTTCTGTTCAAACTTTATTCTGAGAAGGATGTTAGAAAGGAAAGCTCAAGTGTCAAGAAATCAAAAGACTGTCATTTTCTTCACGTGAGAACATATGGCCTGGACAGTTGATAGAGTTAAATAATTTCTTCCTTTTAAATGGAAAAGGCTGAAGGGTTTCTGCAATATTTTTCTTTCCGCAGTTTAATCATCTTGCAATTTGGGGAAGCATAATTATATGGCTGGTGTTTTTTGCAATTTACTCTTTCTTATGGCCTACCATTCCTGTTGCTCCTGAAATGACAGGACAGGTCAGTTCTATTAACTGTCAGTGGTGAGTATGCTTTACATTCCTCATGAAAACTTATGTTTGTTAATAATAACAGTCTGTGGGGCGCCTGGGTGGCTCGGTCGGTTAAGCGTCCGACTTCGGCTCAGGTCATGATCTCACGGTCCGTGAGTTCGAGCCCCGCGTCGGGCTCTGTGCTGACAGCTCGGAGGCTGGATCCTGTTTCAGATTCTGTGTCTCCCTCTCTCTCTGCCCCTCCTCCATTCATGCTCTGTCTCTGTCTCAAAAATAAATAAACATTAAAACAATTTTTTTTTAAAATAACAACAGTCTGCTATCTACTTTCAAAGTAATTTGGAAAGAAAAGATGAAATCAATACAATTAGAAATAGCTGGTGACCCAACTAAATTCTGGTTGAAGTTTTAGTTATAATATTGTTTCATCGAAATCGCATTACTTCAAACTTCAAAATTACTTAGCTATGGTTTCCAAAATTGTTATTTTTTGTAACTAACTGATAAAAGGTATAATCACAATCATCTAAAATAGCTAATATTGTAGTTATATTTTTCATGTTAATGTGCTATATGCTTAAATTATTAGGTACTTTTTATAAGGTATGTATGGCAACTAAGAAACTATTTTTATTTGAAATGTTTAACCAGAATGGACATTCCTTGGACCTCCAGAAGCTCCAGCTTCTAAATATTAGAAACTTTTATTTCACTTATGTTAAACCTCAGAGGTGATATAATTTTTAGACTTTTACAATTGTTTACATATTTATAAATTCTACTTTGTCTACACCTATTCTGGGGAATAGGCCTATGATGCTTACAAAATGGATCACAGAATTATGATGTTAGGACTAGAGGTAGCCTTGGTCCAAAGTTATTCACTTGCCAAATGGAGAAACACAGGTCCAGAGTTGTCCGGTTCAATCCCAGTGGTCTGTCTACCACACAGTCATCCTTCACACTCCTGTCTTTCTCTGTGGAAATGGGAGATGACCCTTGTACCCCTGGATCATGGCAGCCCACTTCCCAGGAAATAAGAATTTTAAGAGACTTCTTGTTTTAGCCATGACCAAGTGGCCAGGATTGGATGAACCTGACAAAAACAACTCTGAAAACTAAACAAGATATAAGAATTGTTTGAAGACACTGGCTAGAAATGAACAGAGATAATACTCGAGGGAATGATTCTTGAAAAAAAGGGAAGCCTTTTCCATCCTTTCCTTCTTTACCCTGGCTCCTTCCCTATGAGCATTTCTTAGCTTGTAGTGCAAGAAAAAAAGCCCAAAGTTAATGCAGTGATCTTACTGGGAAGGTAGAATTCAGAGTCCTAGGCTGCTGAAATGCCTGGACTTGAGGGACAAAACCCTCAAGAAGAGGCAGCCATAGAGAAGTGAGAAGCACAGTATCAGGGAAAGACTTTGATACGGTCAAGGGTTGTTTGAAGTTTTGTTTTCCCTTGAGGCCATGGTAGTTATTATTTCCATGGTGTAGGTAGTACTTTCTTCTAATTTGAGGCATTTACATCTAGGCCATGGCTTTTCTGGGATCTCAGGAAGACCCCGAATGTTTACCAAGGGCATTCCCATTTGGCAAGGCTTAAACTACAATCTCTGTCTCCCCAGCACTGGGTGGGTGCCACGTCTTTGCTTGGTTTTTCAACCTGCCATCTCTTTTCTGCTGGGTCTCTGGAAGTCTCACCCCGCACATTCGCTGTTTAAGAGTGAATCCAGGAGTTAAGGGCAACAGACACACTTCATTTATATGTCAAAGAGGAAACTGAGCATTATGAACTCTGAAAATGAAAACACGACATATCAAAATTTATAGGATGTAGCTGATGCATTACTTAGAGGGAAATTTTTAGCACCATAATCATGTCTGTAAAAAAGAAGGTTCTCAAATATCAGCTCTAGCTTCCATGTTAAGAAACTAGAAAAAGGACAAATGAAACCCAAACTGAGAAGAAAGGAAATAATAAAGATAAAATGACCAAATTATACAATGGTCAAAATATTCAAATAGATACTTCACCAAAGAATACATATGAATAACAAAGGAAAAGAAAAGATGCTTAACATCATTAGTTATGAGATAAATACAGATTAAACTGAGACAGCAGCACACAGCTATGAGAATGGCTGCAACTATAAAAATGTCAACACCAAGTGTCCCTGAGGATGCAAAGCAACTGCCACCCTCATATGCTGCGCATAAGAACGTAAAACGCTTTCTCCGGCTCTGTGCTGACAGCTCAGAACCTGGAGCCTGCTTCAGATTCCGTGTCTCCTTCTCTCTCTGCCCCTCCCCCGCTGGTGTTCTGTGTCTCTCTCTGCCTTTCAAAAATAAATAAATGTTTAAAAAAATTTTTTTAATAAAAAAATGTAAAATGCTTTGGAAAGCAGTTTGGCAGTTTCATAAAGGTCTTAACGTACGTGTTATAGCGTGTATTTAACATGCTATAATGCCCAATGTTTTAGCAGCATTATCAACAATAGCCAAACTATGGAGAGACCCCAAACGTCCATCAACCAATTAATGGATAAAGAAGATGTGGTATATGTACACAATGGAATATTACTCAGCCATAAAAAAGAATGAAATCTTGCCATTTGCCATGATGTTGATGGAGCCAGAATGTATTATCCTAAGTGAATTAGGTCAATCAGAGAAAGACAAATACCATATGATTTCATATAGATGAGCATATGGGAAGAAGGGGATAAGAGAAGAGAGGGAAACAAACCACAAGAGACTCTTAACGATATAGAACAAATCATGGGTTGATGGAGGGAGGTGGAGGGGAGATGGGGCTACATGGGTGATGAGTATTAAGGAGGGCACTTGTTGTGATGAGTGCTGGGTGTTGTATGTAAGTGACAAATCACTGAATTCTACTCCTGGAACCAATATGGCACTGTATGTTCATTAACTAAACTTTAAGTTAAAAAAAGGGGGAAAAAAAAGTATAACATACATATACCATAAGAACCTGTCATTCCACTCCCTGATATTTACCCAAAAGAAATGAAAGCATACGTCCACAAAAAGACTTGAATATAAATATTCAAGGCTGCCTTGTTTGCAACAGCCCAAACTGGGAACAGCGCAAAAGTGCATTGACTGGTGAATAAAAAAACAAATCACCATACAGCTGAATTATTATTCAGCAATAAAAATGAATAAACTGTTGACATATACAACAACTTGGATGGCTCTCAGAATAATTATGTTGAGAGAAATAAACCAGGCCAAGAAGTTTACAAACTGTATGGATCTGTTTATAGAAATTTCCAACAAATTTATAGTGACAGAAAGCAGATCAATAGTAAACTGGAGACATGGGTGGTGGGTGGTAAATGGCACATGAGGCCAGGAAGGAGTGCTTACACTGAAGGATAAAGAGACTTCTGGGGGTGCTAGTTATATTCTTGCTTGTGTTAATGAGCTCATGGATATAATGTATGCCAAACATATCAAATTGTTCACTTTAAATATGTTCAGTGTATTTTAAGTCAAACTATGCCTTGATAAAGCTGTTAAAATAATAAAATATTTAAATGAGACTTAATTCATGAATGTGGCGGAATAAGCACTGTAGTAAGGGAATGGTGACAGGCTGTTTTTTTCCCATTTTAAAAGAGAATACTTATATTGTCATAAATTCTGTATTGAAATTGAGAATTTTAATGAAAACCTGAGAACTTTTACCCTAAGATCAGGAACAAGAAAAGGATATCTACTCTCACCACTTCTTTTCAACGTAGTACTAGAAGTCCTAGCCACAGCAATCAGACAAGAAAAAGAGATAAAAGGCACCCAAATTGGTTAAGAAAACTGTCACTATTTGCAGATGACATAATACTGTATGTAGAAAACACTGAAGACACCACCAAAAAAACAAACAAACAAACAAACAAACAAACTACTGGACCTTATAATGAATTCAGTAAGGTCGCAGGACACAAAATCAATATACAGAAATCCACTGCATTTCTATACGTTAATAATGAAGTAGGAGAAAGAGAAATTAAGAAAACAATCCATTTACAACCGCACCAAAACCAAGAAGATACCTAGGAATAAACTTAACCAAGGAGGTGACAGATCTGTACTCTGAAAACTATAAAGCATTGATGAAAGAAACTGAAGATGACAAACAAATGGGAAGGTATTCCATGCTCATCGATTGGGAGAATAAATATCGTTAAAATGTCTATACTACCCAAAGCAATCTACACGTTTAGTGCAATCCCTATCAAAATACCAACAGCATTTTCACAGAACTAGAACAAATAATCCTTAAATTTGAGTGGGACTACAAAAGATACCAAATAGCCAAAGCAATCTTGAGAAAAAAGAACGAAACTAGAGGTATCGCAATCCCATATTTCAAGATATATTACAAATCTGTAGTAAACAAAACAGTGTGGTGCTGACACAAAAACAGACACATAGATCAAAGGAACAGAATAGAGAACCCAGAAATAAACCCATTATTATACGACCAATTAATCTTCAAGAATATGCAATAGGAAAAAGACATTCTCTTCAACAAATGATGTTGAGAAAACTGGGCAGCTAGATATAAAAGAATGCAACTGGACCACTTTCTTACATCATACACAAAAACAAACTAAAATTTATCATTTTAAGTCTTGTACTTTTCTGAATGTTTTAAGCATAAGTTGATTGTTAAGGTGAAGGAATATGCAGTTTGTTGTTTAGATATTAAATGAAATATTTTTTTCTTACTTGTTCCTCAGTTCCTTTAAAAATCATTTCCCCAATACACCTTTCATGCATACGTCCAGAAGAAAGCTGTTCTCCACTGAGAGAGCCAAACAATAATAAGCCAGTTACTCTGGGCTTGAGCTACCTGCTTCTGGGTCCAGGGTGTTAAGTATATGTATTGTTTCAGTTCTTAAAATACACTCAAATCTAGAGAGTGAAAACTCCTTGACGCTTGTAGCAAAGACGTATTCAATTTCTTCCTTTCCTTTGATTTTTATTTCTATTCATAAATCCTCTCTTTACCATTGGCAAAACTGCCAAGACTGCAAAGGCAAAGTGTTTACATACAGATCTATTGATTTTCGTCACGCACACGTCACAGAAAAGGTTTTCCACTCTGAGTTTGGCATAGCATGCAGGAAATCTATTTACCAAACCAGTAAAAACAAACCTCCCTACCGAAAAAGTATTGGGATCAGGCAGAATACTGGAACTGTGGAACAGAACTCCTGCAAGTAACTCCATTTGTGCTGAAGTTACCTAGTTTGATTACTTTTGTTATACATACAAAAGTCAAGAGTCTCACGTACAGTTGGCCAACAGACACACGAAAAGATACTCAACGTTACTAATCATCAGTGAAACACAAATCAAAACCACAAGGAGATATCGCCTCGTAACAGTCAGAATGGCTACTATCAAAAATACAGGAAATGACAAGCGTTGGTGAGGATGTGGCGAAAAGAGAACTGCTGAGCACCGTTGGTGGGAATGTAAACTGGTGCAGCCACTGTGGAAAACACTATGCCTCTTTGCACCTCTGTGATCAGGAGCAGCAGTACGTGATCAGAGCAAACACCTCCAATATTTGGAGAACAGGGTCCTTTTCCCTCGGCCAAATTCCCCTAACCTGTACGCGAGATGCTTCAGAAATATGTGCCACTTGGCTGGGAGTACATGATGGGGAGCTGCTACTGGGCAAAGAGCTGAAATTGACCAAAACTAAACACAGTTTAATTTTGCAAGTTACCCCCTGGAATATGCAAGCCTTCAACAGATTCCAGAGTTCAAAAACAATTATAACAGACACATCCTATGAGTGCAGTTACTGTCGGGGGTGGGGGGCAGACAGCTCCCCATTGCTTCCTATTCTGCCATTGTCCTAGAATCCTGTTTTATTTATTTCTGCTCTATTCCTTATTATTTCCTTCCTTTTGGCGAGCTGTGGGCTTGGTTGTTCTTGTTTCTCTAGCTCCCAAGTCGTTAAGTTAGCTCATTTGAGATCTTTTTTTCTTGACGTAAACATTTATTACTATAAACTTCCTTCTTAAAACTGCTTTTGCCACAGCCCATAAGTGTTGATATGTTGTGTTTTCATTTTTGTTTGTCCAGAGATACTTTCCTGTTTCCTCTATTGTTGTTTCTGAACTTGTTTTGTTGTTGTACCTTCTTTTTAAAGTATAATTAACATACAGTGTTATTTAATTTCAAGTGTACAAGATAGTGATTCAACAACTCTATATATTATGCTATCTCACTTCAAGTGTAACTGCCCTCCGTCACCATACGCCGCTATTACAATATCCTTGATTATATTCATTCACCACACTTTACCTTTAATCCCAAGACTTATTCATTCAATAACTGGAAGCCTGTACCTCCCACTCCTCTTTACCCATTTCACCAATTCTCTCATCCCCAACCCTCTGACAACCACCAGATTGTTCTCTGTATTTATGGGTCTGTTTCTGTTTGTTTATTCGTTTTTAGATTCCATATGTAAATCAAATCATAGGGTATTTGTCTTTCTCTGTCTGATGTGTTTCACTTAGCATAATACCCTCTAGGTCTACCTGTGATGTCATAAATACCAAGATATCATTTTTTACTATGAAAATAATACACACACACACACACACACACACACACACACCATTTCTTTATCCATTCATCTACTGATAGACACTTAAGTTGCATCCATGTCTTGGCTACTGTACATAATGCTGCAATAAATAGAGGGGTGCACATATGTTTTTGAAGTAGTGTTTTCTTTTTCTTTGGGTAAATACCCAGTACTGGAATCACTGGATCATACATTATTGCTTTTTAAATTCGAGGGACCTCCATGCTGTTCTCCATAGTGGCTCCATCAATTTACATTCTCAACAATGCACAAGGGTTCCTTTTCCTCCACATCCTCACCAACATTTGTTATTTATTTCTGGCCATTCTGAGATACAAGGTGATGTCTCACTATGGTTTTGATTTGCATTTCTCTGATGATTACTGACGACTAGTGATGTGAGGTAGCCTTTCATGTGTCTATTGGTCTGTAGGAATTAGAATAAAAAAATTTACAAAAAAATATAGTAAAAAATTTTTAAAAATTTATAAAAACGGAAAATAAAAATAAATTTTTTCTTATTCTGTATTCAAGATTAAGAGAAGAAAAGGAAAAAAAAAAACCCAAATAGATGGACCAGCGAACAGAATGAAATCGAAACGAAATTACGTCCAGTTTGCCCTGGAAGCCAAACTATAAAGCACTGTGTATCTGCACACTTAGGAGGCAGAGAGACTTGTGGTCCTCTAGGGCTTGGTTGGTGCAGTTGGATGGGGCTTGGTGTAACGGCTCGATTGTCCACTAGGTGGCTCTGCTTAGCTTACGGGGATGGACGGATGCACGTGTGTGGGAGAGGGGAAAATGGCATTACCCACCTTCCCAGTCTGGCACAGGAACACCGCACTCTCACTGACCAGCAGTCAAGCAACCCTCCTATGTCTCTGTTTTCTGTCCACTCCCTGCTTCTACAGTGTCTGCATTTAAGCCATCCTGCCACGCAGCACCTCCGTCCAGAATTTTGTTTCAGACGGGGCTGTTTCCACACCCCCCCCCCCCCCACTTCTGAGGGCCCTGTGGCTTGGACCTGCTCCAACCCTCTGGGGGAGGGGTCTCATTGAGCAATGGCTGGGTGCCGGCTGGCCCCAGCAGAAGTTCGTGCAATTGCGCAGAAGAGGTTAAGGGGTTATGGTAAATCACAACGCACAACCGACACCACGTTTGGCCTCATCCTGGCATCTTTGTTTCAATGCCAGCAAACGTGGCCGTTCCCTGGGGTCCGCTGGGACCTTTGCCTGTGGGGAGGTCCTCTACCAAATGCCCTCCTAGCAGGGGAACTGCTTCTCCCCACGTAGCCCCCAGGCCTCGGACCTCACTGCCTGCTCCCGGGGATTCGCCCTTCCCACCAGAGCACTGCCAGGTATTGAGCTGTGGAATTTCTGACTGCTCTCCCCTGTTTATAGAGCCCTAATGGTATTGAAACCCTCTCGTTTCTCCTTTCTCCCTTTCTTGTCCAGTTACTTGTGGCTGTTTCCACTCTTTCCCTCCAGCTACTTTCAGCGGGAGTGCTTTTCCTGTACTCTGCCCCCTTTCTCTGTCCTCTCTCTGCAAAAACAGCTCTCTACCCTCCATGGCCTCTCTCCCCCAGTTTACCTCTCCGCACTGTGTACCTGCCAAGTTCTGTGGCTCAAGTTATGCAGATAGTTGTGTTCATCCTCAGATCAATTTTCTAGGAGTGCAAAATGGTTTGGTGCTCATCTAGTTGGATTTCAGGGACGAGAGAAGCAGAGAACTTCCACGCTGCTCCAGCATCCTGGCCCCTCCCTCAGGAAACCTCTATTGACCATCTATAAATCTTCCTTGGAAAAATGTCTATTCAGGTCCAATTTAGTTTTGTTGTTGCTGAGTTCTGTAAGTTCTTTGTATATTTTGGATGTTAGGTTCTGATTGGATATATGATTTGCAAATTATCTCCTGTTCAGTAGGATGTCTTTTGTTTTGTTGATGGTTTCCTTTGCTGTGCAAAAGCTTTTCATTTGGGTGTAGTCCAAATAGTTGACTTTTGCTTTTTTCCCCCCTTGTCTGAGGAAACATATCTAGAAAAATGTTCCTAGCGCTGATGTCAAAAAGATTACACCTATGTTTTCTTCCAGGAGCTTGATGGTTTCAGGTCTCACTTTAATCCACTTTATTTTTGTGTATGATATAAGAAAGTGGTTCAGTTTCATTCTTCTGTATATAGCTGTCCAGGTTTCTCAACATCATTTATTGAAAAGAGTGTCTTTCCCCCATTTTATGGTCTTGCTTCCTTTGTCATAGATTAATTGACCATATAAGCAGGGGTTTATTTCTGAACTCTCTATTCTTTTCCATTGATCTGCATGTATATTTTGTGCCATACTGTTTTGATTACTATAGCTTGTAGTGATCAAAATCTAGGATCGTGATACCTCTAGTTTTGTTCTTTTCTCAAGATTGCTTCGGCTATTTGGTGTCTTTTGTAGTTCCACTCAAATTTAGTATTATGTGTTCTAGTTCTGTAAAAAGTCCTATTGGTATTTCGATAGAGATTGAATGGAATCTATAGATTGCTTTGTGTAATATGGACATTTTAACAATATTAATTCTTCTAATCCATGAGGATGGAATATCTTTCCATTTGTGTCATTTAAAATTTCTTTCATCAATGTTTTACAGTTTTTAGAGTACAGATGTTTCATTTCTTTGGTTAAGTTTATTCCTAGGTATTTTATTCTTTTTGAATAAAATTTTAAGTGGGATGGTTTTCTTAATTTCTTTCTGATACTTCATTCTTAGTGTATAGAAATACAACAGATCTCTGTGCATTGATTTTATATCCTGTGACCTTAGTGAACTCATTCATGAGTTCTAATAGTTGTTTGGCGGAGTCTAGAATTTTCTATACATACTATCGTGCCATCTGCAAACAGTGACGGTTTTACTTCATCCTTACCAACTTGGATGCCTTTTATTTCTTTTCATTGTCTGACTGCTGCAGCTAGGGCTCCCAGCACTACGTTGAATAAAAGTGGTAAAAATGAACATCCTTGTCATGTTACTGATCTTAGAGGAAAAGCTCTCAGTTTTTCACCACTGCATATCATGTTAGCTGTGCATTTTTCTTATATGGCCTTAATTATGTTGAGCTGTGTTGCCTCTAAACTCACTTGGTTGAGAGTTTTTATTGCAAATGGATGTTGGATTTTGTCAAGTGCTTTTCTGCATCTTCTGAGATGACTGTCTAGTTTTTTATCCTTTGTCTTGTGAATCTGGTGTATCACACTGATCGACAGGCCCTCAGCAATGCAGAGACCAAACCCTGCCCAGTGTGTCCACAGCAGGCAAAGGAGGTCACTGTAGCTGGTGGGGCTAAAGGCAAATGTGGCCCAGCCATAACAGTAGGGTTCAGGCAGCCCAGACGGGAGATACTTCTGGAACACCTAGTTCTGGTGACCAGGGAACGCTGTGCTGCAGGGCCCCACAGGGCCTCTCTTCTACAAGATCACTACTTCCAAGACCAGGAGACACAGCTGACCTCCCTAATAATACATGGAAACAAACACAGGAAGTTAGACAAAATGAAGAGACCGAAGAATACGTACCAAATAAAAGAACAGGACAAAGTTACAGAAAAAGATCTAAATGAAACTGAAATAAGCAATATGCCCAATAAAAAATTCAAAGTAATGTTTGTAATAAAGACTAGAGCAAAAATAAAAGAAATAAAGACCAAAAATAGAAAAGATCAATGAAATCAGGAGTTTGTTTCTTTGAAAAGATGAACAAAATTCATAAACCTTTAGCCAGATTCATCTAGAAAATGAGAGAGAGAGGACTCACGTCAATAAAATCAGAAATATAGAATGAGAAATAACAACTGACACCACAGGAATACAAAGGATTATAAGAGACTATAAAAATTATAGGCCAATGAATCAGACAACCTAGAAGAAACTGATAAATTCCTAGAAACATACAATCTTCCAAAACTGAATAAGAAAAGAAAATTTGAACAGATTAATTACTAAGTAATGAAACTGAACTGATAATCAAAACACTCCGAACAAACAAAAGTCCAGGAATAGATAGCTTCACAAGTGAATTCTACCAAACATTTAAATAAGAGTTAATATGTATTCTTCTCACACTTCTAAAAAAGGAAGACTTCCAAATTCATTCTATAAGGCCAGCATTACCCTGATGCCAAAATCAGATAGACACTACAAAAAAGATAACTACAGGCCAATATCTCTGATAAACATAGATGCAAAAATCTTCAACAAAATATTAGCAAACCAAATGCAACTATGCATTAAAAAAGTCATTCATTACAATCAAGTAGAATTTATTCCAGAGATGCATGAGTGGTTTCCCTTTTGATTTCTTTGACCCGCTGGATTATTCAGTAGTGTGTTGTTTAATTTCCACATTATTTGTGATTTTATCCAGTTTTCCTCCTAGTACTGATTTCTAATTAAATAGAATTATGATCAGGGAAAAAAATACTTGATATTATTTCAATCTTCTTAAATTTGTTAAGGCTTGCTTTGTGGCCCAACATGTAATCTATCCTGGAGAATGTTCCATGTGCACTGGAAAAGAATGTGTATTCTGGTGCTGTTGGATGGAATGTTCTGAATATGTCTATAAGGTCCATTTTGTCTATTGTGTTATTGAGGACAGCTGTTCCCTTATCGATTTTCTGTCCAAATGATCTTTCCATTGTTGAAAGTGGGGAATTGAATTCCCTATTATTATATTGCTGTGAATTTCCCCCTTCAGTTTTGTTTATGGTTTAAATATTTAGGTGCTCCAATGTCAGGTGCAAACAAACTTATAATTCTCATATCCTCTTAATAAATTGACCTCCATAATACTATATAGTGACTTTCTTTGTCTCTTATGACTGATTTGGCCTGAATGTTTATTTTATCTAATATTAATATAGCCACTCCTGCTCTCTTTTGGTTACCATTTACTTGTAATATTTTTTTCAATCCCCTTACTTTTGCCTATGTGGCCTGAAAGCTGACGTGAGTCTCCTATCAGCGGCATATTGTTGGATCTTTTTTATTTATCCAGTCACTCTATGTCTTTTGATTGGAGAATTTAATCCGTTTACATTTAAAGTAATTACTTACTGGTAAGGACTTACTATAGCCATTTTAATAACATGTATTATTCCCACAGGTCCTAAAGATAAATCACAGCATGCCACATGGGAAAGAGACCAGGGTGGTCAGGAGGAGGAACACAGGAGCTGAGGAGTGCTTAGGCCTTGCCTTTATTGGGGCTTCCATGGGAAAGGCAAGGCAGAGCAGGGTGAACAGCCCAGGAACGGCTAGTTTAAATGACTTTTTGCAGGCTTTGGACTATAGGGGTGGTTTCTAGTTGCCTGTTACCTGGTTCTGGAATGATTATGGCAAAGGAATAATGCCTCCTGGGGTATATGGGCCAGATAGAGGAGAGAGGCTGTGGATTAGTTTGCAGATCAAAGGCATCCTCCCCGCTGAGATCTTACTATCTGTAAGAACTGACTAGCTCTGGGAGGGGCAGTCTCCACACAGAAAGGTTTTTTGTTTGGATGTTGAAACATCAGCATATACAGAAAATTAAAAATATATACAATACAGAGCCTTACCCAGTCCTGTAAGTACAGTCCCAGTACAGTCCTGATTCTCTCTGATCAGGCAGAAAGAAGAGTGATTTTTCGCAGGGGACTAGAATGGCACAATTGTCTTACACACAATGTCTAGAAGTTAAGTAAAGTTGTATTGCTAGGTTAACATAAGGTTGAACCGCGCTTGCATTCCTGAGATAAAACTTACTTGATCAAAATATTTACTTGGTTGACTGTTTATAGAATATACTATCGAATTAAGTTAGCTGATACTATATTTAGGTTTTACGTACTTATACTGATTGAGTAGTTCTAGACTCCTATGACTGCATCCACACCTGCATCTCGAGGTTTTTGTGGAGGAGAAGGGAAACTGAAAGTTACACGTGGTACTCAATACTGACAAACTAAAAGATTCCTATGTAAATACTCTTTATTTCTATTTATTTGCAGGTCAGTGTGGTCCTGGTTTGTCCACACTTCTGGCTGGGTTTCTTCATAGTCCCTATTGTGTGCCTGATTCTAAATCTACTATGGACATCGTAAGTTGAAAATTAAGGTAGTAACCAAAAAAATATACTGTCATGGTTAATTCTTCTTTTCCAATTATGTGGTCTTCAAATTAAGTTGAATTTGAAAATTTGCCACTTTATGAATATTAACAGTCATGGGACTTTTAGAAGTAAATGTCTTCTGCCTTTCACCACCGTAGATTTCCCAGCAACCAATTTGGGGGGGAAAAAGATGTTATCAAAATACATGAGAGGTAAATTTGGTAGTGAACTACCTAGTTCATGATCTTTCCTGAAAGGTCATCCACTTACTCTTTAGAAGTGGGACTTCTATCCATTTTAGAGGAACCAAAACCTGATACCAGAGGATCACAGATTAAAAACTAATAACAAAATAAGAAACAGGAGGAAGATGTTCAAATTAGAAAGACATTCTTCACTTTTTAAAAACATGGGAAATAAGAGTCTATTAAATATAGTTCCCCCAGAATATTTAGGTATTAGAGGACAGAAACTCCCCTCCCCCTTTTTTTTCTTACCGAATCCAACAGGAAAAAAAAGCTTTTAACTAAGGTGTTAGAAATCCCTGAAATCCCTAATGTTACAGATAAAGAACCCATGAAATTACAAGCTTTAAAAATCGGAAATAACTTGTACACGATCATCGTACATAATGTGTAACATGAACAACAGGGCTTTACAACATCACAGGGGAGCCTGAGTGGCTCAGTCAGTTGAGCACCTGACTTCAGCTCAGGTCCTGATCTCACGGTCCGGTCCGTGGTGTTGAGACCCATATCGGGCTCTGTGCTGACAGCTCAGAGCCTGGAGCCTGCTTCGCATTCTGGGTCTCCCTCTCTGTCTGCCCCTCCCCTGCTCACAGTCTCTCTGTCTCTCTCAAAAATAAACATTAAAAAGTAAATAAACATCATAAATTTCAAACTAAGAAGTTAGAGAAAGAAATATTCTAGAAGTGATAATACTAATTTTGCTTTTTAATGTCCAATTCTTCCTTAATTCCTCTATATATCAGGGCAAATGTAATTATTTATAGACCCCAAAGCAGAGGGGTGAATCTTTCTCAAATCCCCCCCCCCAAACATATTAGGTTCTTTTTCTCTTTCCATGTGTTGTGTGTGTGTGTGTGTGTGTGTGTGTGTGTGTGTGCGTGCGCTTGCGCAAGTGTGGGGGAGGGGGTCTTTTCATTCATTCCACCTTCAGCAAGAACTGTCTTTTAAGAAACTGTTTGAAGAACCCTTTATATCACTATTAACTCATCAACCAAAGTTAGCGATGGGAGGTGGAGAGAAAGTACTTAATACGTTTGTAATATGCATGTTTATTCATTCGATCCTGAGAGCAGGAGGGTCAGGGCAGAGACAGCCAGTAGTGCTTACTCACGGCAACAGCCACTCTGGTGCCCCCCCCTCCTAGCATGAAAGGTATGTCACAGGGGAGGAAGCCCCAGACTATGAACCTGGGAGTCTCTGCAGGAGAACAGCAGTTTTCCTCTCTTGTCTCCTGAGAAAGGAGAGAGGCTTTGCTCCTTAATGGAAGCCAATTCTCCTGGGGAAGAGAAGGAGAAGGATCACAGGTTCCCACTCTTTGGAATGTGAGTAAAGTTGTGCAGGGGTGAGATAAAACCAGTGTCTCCGGGCTCACAAATCCTAGAATATCTCCATGGCTCCGATCTCATCACATTTTGAAACATAAACGTTCTGCCCTGGCACAGAATGTCTTCTCCACAGTCCCACAAGTACATCTTATCTTCCATTCAGTAGGTTTTGCCATTTGGGGAGGAAACCATTCTAGTGTAATTAATAGTTACATACCCACCTTTGTATTAACAGATCTCAGACTTTAAAAACTAATTATAACAAAAAAAAAAAAAACCCCTGGAAACATACCATTTCCCATCTTGGGGGCACCTCCAATCTGAGTGCTCCAGGATGTGCTGCCCCAGAGGCATTTATTTACTTAGTACCAAAGTGTTCCTGCTGGCAGAGTTGTGGCCAGTAGGGAGACAGAAACCTCAACCGAACTAGGATACGTTGAAGACTCCCAACCTAAAATAACCATTTCAGGGGCGCCTGAGTGGCTCAGTCAGTTAAGCATCCGACTCCTGATTCTGACTCAGGTCATGATCTCACAGTTGGTGAGATCGAGCCCCACGTCTGCACTGTGCTACCAGTGCAGAGCCTGCTTGGGACACTCTCTCTGCCTTGCGGTCTCTCAAAATAAATAAATAAACATGAAAACATTCTTTAAAATGAGCATTTCATATCTATACCACAGCATCGATTTCCCCAGTGCAATATGTACTGGTCCAGTTTCATTCCATACTTTCTTTTGCTTACAGAATGCAATTTTCTTCACATTGTTTTATCCCATCTCTGAGTATAAATATTTCTATTAAGTTGGATGAGATTCTTTCTGGAAAGAAAAAAAAAAAAACCTTTCTATAAAGTACTCGATCTAGGGAAATTTTATACTACATTTTAACGTGCAATATATTTCTCCTAATTATTCCTCACTACATCCTAATCCGCATCCCATCCACAAGTTTTTCAGTTTAACCTCGGAAATAATTACTGTGGAACAAAGTAACCGACTGGGCATTAACTGCTGTCACGTAGATGAAGAATGTGCCACACGCTGACAGTGCACAAGCGTGTCTTCCGTGCTGGTGTCACTGCGGAACTTGGAGCTTGAGTTTTTGAATCTTTCTGAAAGTGTGTTAAACTTTTTTAAAGGTGTTAAATTCCAGCACGTGGCATTACACATATCTCAGTATGAGCTCTTCGGCACATCAGCTGCGTTATTTCTGCTCTTTCTTAGCTCACCATTCTTTTCTCCATTTCAGAAGTTAAACTCTTATGGGTAAAAAAACGTCAGAATGAAGTAGTCATCTTTTGCCCTGTGGCATCTGAAAACTTCCTGGATGGTCCTCTCCTATTAGGCAATAAGGGGTAGATTTGGATCTGTAAACACTCCACTTTTATCCTCTTAACCACCTGCACTTTCCCATTGTATCAAACTTTGCTTAAAACACCTCATTGGGCACCTGTATAATATGGATAGTATGTATTTCTTAAAAAGCATAAATTTGGTTTTCTTGAATTAGTTTCGCAATCAATTCTTCCAAATTGTTAGTCTGAGATGGCATTTGTATCTTTTTAACGTTTATTTATCTGAGAGAGAGAGTGTGTACGCGCGCGTGAGCAGGGGAGGGGAAGAGAGAGGGAATCCCGAGCAGGTTCCACCCCAGCGTGGAGGCCTGAGTGGGGCTCCCCCCCACAAACCTGAGCTGAAATCAAGAGTCAGTCGCTCAACTGACTGAGCCACCCAGCACCCCTGAGATGGCATTTTTAAATGAACTGCTGTGCACTCACAGCACAGCGAAGTTCATCTGTCAAGGTTGCTGTGAAATGCTGCCACTAAAGCCACCGGACTTTTAGGAGCAGTTCTTTTGGCTCTGTTTTGTTTTTAACCTCAACGAGTCTATCCCCTTTACTACTCTACTTATATTTCCTGCTTATAAAATAGCCTGTGATCCAGAATGATTTCAAAATCTTGGTACAAATGGGGCGCCTGGGTGGCTCACTTGGTCAAGCATCTGACTCTTGATTTCAGCTCCGATCAGGATCTCATGGTCGGTGAGATCGAGCCCTGCACTGGGTTCTGCACCGACAGTGTGGAGCCTGCTTGGGATTCTCTTGCTCCGTTTCTCTGCTGCCCCTCCCCTTGCTCGCTCGCTCTCTCAAAATAAATAAATAAACATTTAAAAAAATCTTTAAAAAATCTTGGTATAATCCTAGGGAGATACTTACATGAAAGTTAAGTACAAACGTGAAATAATTCAAATATACATGTGATTTGGACTTAAGAAGACTGTATATACTACTAAAATACTTTCTTTGAGTTACATAACACTTACACTAAAGTACAAATTTCAAGCATTTCACAGTCCCTTTGAATTGCAGATTTTCCCACCTCTATTTACCATATTACAGAACAAAACAAAAACAAAAAATGTGGTATGCTAACTTATCTTTACTCAAAGAAAAAAGGGGGGGCCTCAAGTAACTAAAAAGACAACGAAAAATTCAGGATTACTCTTACTTGCCTTTAAAATGCAGCTGGGGGGCGCCTGGGTGGCGCAGTCGGTTAAGCCTCTGACTTCAGCCAGGTCACGATCTCGCGGTCCGTGAGTTCGAGCCCCGCGTCAGGCTCTGGGCTGATGGCTCGGAGCCTGGAGCCTGTTTCCGATTCTGTGTCTCCCTCTCTCTCTGCCCCTCCCCCGTTCATGCTCTGTCTCTCTCTGTCCCAAAAATAAATTTAAAAAAACGTTGGAAAAAAAAAATTTTTTTTAAAAATAAATAAAATGCAGCTGGGAACTTGCAGACCACCTTGGCCATACTCAGTTACAGACGAAGATGCTAACATACTGAGAGGATGATTCTAACAGGACCCCTCAGCATCCAGCGCACCCTTCTCTCTCTTTGGAAATCTAGGATCTATGGCTAGATGATGACATCACTGGGGAATCAAGTGACAGAAGCCACAGGTTGTAAAAGATCCAAGTTAAGACCTACACTCGATGCCATGGATCACTTTCCAAATAATTTTCAGAGCTGTTAAGTATTACATTTTAGCCATCCTACAGTTACACATTATCAAGGAAATATTTAGGATCCTTTTCATAACTATGGAATTTACTAGAAGAATCCATGTAAATGCACGTAGATGGTCCCGATAGCAAATTATGTTCCAAATACTCAATTGCACATCTATTTGCATCTAAAGGCACATTTTCTCAGAAAAATGTAAGTAGCAGTATTTTTTTTTAGTTCAGGCCACAAGTGGCTATTTATTTGATAACATGGATGAAACGAAACTCATTTCCGTGGGGGGAAAAAGGGAAACAGTGTCACTGGAAATGAGCAGTATTTCAGCTCCTGAGAAATACTTTACTGGGTACACAAGTGCTTGAAATTGTTGTTTCCCGGCCCGAAATCTAGGAAGGTAAGGAATGAAGAGAAGTTGCTGGAGAGGGTGGTAAGAGGGGGAGGACCTGAGGAGGCAGGTACACGTGCAGAAACTGGGGGTGTGAGGAAACCAGGGAGCCAGAGGTGGTTGCTTCTGCTTCAGATAAGACTTCAGACCTTGCCCCTTAGGACCTACTACCAGAACCACCATCCCAAGGCTCTCCCTCAGGAGCTTTACAAAGGACCTCGTCGACAGGATCCCAGAGCTAACAAGGTGAACTGCCTCCCTGCTGCCCTCCCCTCCCCCCGTGTGGCTTCCTGCTGTGCAGCGAGGAGAAAATGTGGTGGCTTGAAGGGTGCCCTGATTATCTGGGGAGGGCTTTTCTGGACAGCCACACTGAGCGTTTCTCTATCTGCTTTAGAGCCAGCATGGTTTTGAGTTTGGAAAGTTCCAAATATACGCTGTAACGAAAACTGATGTGGTTTAGGTGTCATTTTTAATATATATTTTATATCAAATGTGTGAGATTTCGGGGCGCCTGGGTGGCGCAGTCGGTTAAGCGTCCGACTTCAGCCAGGTCACGATCTCGTGGTCCGGGAGTTCGAGCCCCGCGTCGGGCTCTGGGCTGATGGCTCGGAGCCTGGAGCCTGTTTCCGATTCTGTGTCTCCCTCTCTCTCTGCCCCTCCCCCGTTCATGCTCTGTCTCTCTTTGTCCCAAAAATAAATAAAAAATGTTGAAAAAAAAAATTAAAAAAAAATAAAATAAAATGCGTGAGATTTCAAATTCAATCTAATGTTAACTTACCAATCTACATTTCAAATGACAGCACTTTATCTCACGGAATTACGATTAAAACAGCTAGTACATATAAAGTGTTTAGAAAATCACCTGCCACATGCTGGTATTTATGTACGGATCTTTTTATTTATCTCTCATGCGTACTTCCTTGATAATTTAGTTCTATTGTTTATTCTACAGAAAAATCATAAGTGACAAATACCATATTTTACTATTTATAATCCATTCCCAGGAGTTAGAAGATGTTTATACTCTACCTTGAACTTTCTTTCCATAAAACAAAAACTGTTCACTTTCGAGTAAACAGCAAATATAGCCTGTGCCTCTATTTCAACTGCTTTACAAAATGTTCTCCTCCATCACTCTTCACCTTTCCTTACATTGTGATGTCCAAATATGTCGTTAGATAGACATACAGTAAGTAAAGCTTTTTTATAATGAATAATCACGGACTTCTGAACCTGTCAAATAAAGTATGGCTTTTCTTTTCCAACATTCAAACCATATCTTATTAGCTACATTTCCTTCATTGTTCGTTTGTTGTTAAGTTACTTCCCATCAGCAACTTTCTGATACACCGGAGACAGATAAACCTTGCAGTCAACATACAAAGAACATGGTAAAGTGTTCACTTGTTATATGTTCATAATTTTACTTTAATCCAAAAGGATTTCAAGAGATTCAATGCAGTGCCAACACAGTGACGTCACAGTCACAGGTTTTAAGTTAAAATATCAGAACAGCTGCTGACTAGAGAGAAAGGCAGCTTCCTTTGTTTAGGGAACAGCTTAGAAAATTCCTAAAATTGAAGCATACCAGTTAGACACGTGTTTTTCTTCAAGTATACATTAGTGTTTAGGCTTGTTAATTCTTTATTTTTTTATTGTTTTTTATGCTTATTTTTGAGAGAGACAGAGCGTGAGCGGGGAAGGGGCAGAAGAGAGAGAGACAAAATCCAAAGCAGGCTTCAGGTTCTGAGCCCGCAGCACAGACCTAGACCCAGGGCTGGAACTCAGGAACTTCGAGATCATGACCTGAGCTGAAGTCAGAGGCTTACCCAACTGAGCCACCCAGGCACCCCGGCTTGTTAATTCTTTTATAATACAATTTTGAAGTGTGTGGCATCACATTCTTTGATGGTTTTTGTTCCAAAACTTGACCACTGACGTCTCTAATAATTTCTCCCAATTACCCAATCTTCCTTCTTCCCGTGATTTTCTGCCTCAGCCAGCCTAAAATTTATAAACCACCAAGTCTTACTACCAGCCTAAACTCTTGCACTTTTTAATTGTACTTGTCTGGGGATGTGAGCGGCTATGACTACCCAGGAGTCCGTGAGCTGTCCTCTGTGTCACTTCTTAGCGCCTGCCAGACCCCTCCCAAGGCCACAGATGGCCTGCTCCAGCCCCATCTCCCCCGCCTCTCTCAGGTCATGCTTACTGTGCCCCTCCCACCACAGGGGTTTCCCAGAGTGGGTCTCCTCTGTCCAGAATGCTCTCCCACACCCTCCTTCACTAACCGGCTTCTCCTCCTTCACCCCAGCTCAAATTCCACTTCTCCAGAGAAGGCTTTGCTAACACCCTTGGAAGCTTCTACCTCTGCCTCACACTGGAATGGTGCCACGTGGGGCCCCTTCCATCATACCTGTTTCCCTCTGACATGGCTCATTCGTGTACTTGTCTGTTGACTGTCTCTCTATATACGTTGGAAGCGTCGCAAAAGCAGAAACCGGGGCTCCTGAGTGGCTTACTCGGTTAAGCGTCTGACTTCGGCTCAGGTCATGATCTCACGGTTTGTGACTTCGAGCCCCGCGTCGGGCTCTGTGCTGACAGCTCAGAGCCTGGAGCCTGCTTCGGATTCTGTGTCTCCCTCTCTCTCTGCTGCCCCTCCCCCGCTCATGCTCTGTCTCTCTCTCTCTCTCTCTCAGAAACAAATGTTAAAAAAATTTAAAAAAGAGAAAGTAGAAACAATGTCTATTTTTGCTTTGGTATCTAATTGTGGCTCAAAGAAACTTAATACTGGAGTGGATGAATGATGAGTGCATGAATACAGATAGAGACCCTAACGAAAACAAGTTGCCACAGAAAGGGGGAGCACTGTCTTGTCGGTTTCAAGTCAGAAATGCACACCTGTGGTCAAGCACTGACAGGACACATCCACTCTGCCATTACGACTGCTGTGAATGGCACAGGTAGTCCTAGGTGTCTCTGATGGAAGTGAGGGTTGGAGGCAGCACACAGCTGAAAACTTGAGAATCAAGATTCCCAACTAGTGACCATGGTAGAAAAAGTCATACGGAATCACGTCTCAGTCCTCTGAACCTTCAACTGTCTGGCTAAAATGCATGCAGATTGACTCGTCCAGAGTCACGGCCCCTGCAACTTAGACACACACCCAGATCTACAGACTTGCACGGAGAGTCGGCAGTGTTCGGGGCGGCTGCAGCACCCCCTCTGGTAACGCCTCGTAGCTGCTGGGAAAGCAAGACTCTGGTTTCGCTCAGAGGCTGGGCACAATGCATCGCATCTCATCGTACAGCCTGTAGGCAAGGGATGTCCAGCTACCCAAGAGGGAGAAATTGTTGCTTACACCGTGTAAAGCTCATGTGTTCTTTTTATCTTTCCCATACGATACAGGATTAGAAATACCTGCAACGGAACGTTCCTAGAAGAAGTTCGTAAGATGGAAAGAGGCAGAGTTCAAGAACTTCATCTTCCAACAGCGTTTGAAAAGAGGTGAGGCTCTTCCCTTCATCCTGACTTTTGTTAAAAACCTGATCTCCTTGTTCTTTTTCTACCTTTCCCCTCCCAGGCACTTCCATACTTGTCATGATTCCGCAAGTTTATTAAGTGCAGGTCAACAGGCTTCTTGAACTTCACACCCCCAGCCACACCAGCTTCCCGTAAGACCCTCCTTCCAGCGGATGGCAACTTCATTCTTCCAGTTTCTCAGGCCAGAAATCTTGAAGTCATTCTCACATCCTCTTTCTCCTATCCCACCCCCATCGTGTCAGAAAATCTTACTGTTCCTACTTCAAAACAAAAAAACAAAAAAAAAACGCTGAGAATTTGATCACTACTCACAACCTGCACCATCGTGACCAGGTCCAGCCTCCATCATCTTTCTCCTGGATCATTGCAGAAGCCTCTTACCAGGTATCTCTGCTTCTGGCCTTCCATATAGCAGTCAGAGGGAGGAGGCTTTGGCAGGGTAAATCAGACCATATCACTCCCTGCTCTCTGCTTTCCTATGACCTCTCCTCTCACTCTCTCACTCAGAGAAAGACAAGACCCTTTTAGTGGCTTCCAGTGCCCTACACACAGTCCCATCACACACAGTCCCATTACACACACACACAACCAATTTGAGATACCTCCTTATGGCTTTCTCTTCTCATGTCTGGTCACCAAAAGGTTTTTTTTCTTTTTTTAATGCCTCGTTTTGGAAAATCACATTTCCATTTCACCACACATATTTTCAAAGCAAGGTGTGTCCTTTTCACAACCTCCCTTGCTATTATTCTAACAGATGGTGCATCAAGCTTATGCACGCTGACTTTATTTTAACTTCTAGTGGTTGGTGGACAGACACCCAGATACCTGTGTTGGGCCAAGGAATCTGCTAATCTCTGCCACTTTCCCCTGCAGATTCTTGCAGAAAGGTTTAGACGTGCAGGGGAAGCAGCTCCTCTCTCTGAGTCCTTCCCACTAGACGAAGCTGGGGATGCAGGAGGTCAGGGGAGGGCACCGCCAGAGAAAAAGACCAGGGCTGCTTCTAGAAACTCTCCCCTCCTCCCACCGCCTGGGAAGAAGACACCAAATTACAGTGTTCGCTTCCACAGTTGCTGCTTCTTCCCACTGGTCCTGACCCGACGGCCTTGAGAGAAGAATAGACCAAATGCTAGGAATCAAAGTGTACTAATATTTTTTATCTCTGTATCTAAACTATCTCCAGGGAGAGATCCGTTCCAATTGTCTGACAGAACCTGGGTGTTCTTCTGAGTAAAAGTGCCATGCTCCTTTTCTTCTATTCAAGGCACTTCCATGAAGCCTGGTCTGTCCTGGAGTTTTAAGTGGGCTTTCTCTGCATCTGGAATATTTATACAGGAAGTATAAGGCAAAGAATAAGTCTTTAACTATACTGAATGGCTGCTATATTTGGAGTACTTTGTTAACCAAGATGGAAAGGGTCAAAAGCAACTGGTGATGTAACCTGAATAAAGAGGCCCAAACACATTTTTGATTTTATTTAGGGAGAATCAAAATTGTAAGTGGGCAAATATAAAATAAATGAATGGGGTGATTAATCAAGACCCACATATTTGGCACCTGGTGAGTACTCAGGAGTGATGGTCCCAAGCGTTGGCAAGGACGAAGAGCAAGTACAGATGCTGAAAAAGACAGTCTGGACAGCTGGGCATTTCTCATGAGTTTAAAGAAAAGCTTATCCCATGTCCCAACAGTCCCATTTCTAGGTATTTACCCAAGAGACTTTAAAGTGTATGTCTACACATCCAGGTGCATGATGCGGAAAGATCCCCATCAGGTATGACCCGAAGATTTCACCAAGATACATTATAATGAAACTGTCAAAAATCAAAGACAAAGAATCTTGAAAGCAACAAAAGGAAAGAAGCTTGTCACACACAAGGTAATGCTATCAACCGATTTTTCGACACAATACTTATTGTCCGAGAGAGGTACCATGCTATATTCAAAGTGCTGAAGGGAAAACAGCTACCAACCGAGAATACTGTATCTGACAAAGCTGGAACTGAAGGAGAGATAAAGAGTTTTCAAAGCAAACAAAAGAGAAAGGAGTTTATCACCACAGGCCTGGCCTTACAAGACATGTTAGAGGGACTTCTTTAAGGCTGAAACAATAGGGCACTAATCAACAGAAAACCATGAAAAGTATAAATCTCATTGGTAAATGTAAATATATAGTAAAATTCAAAATAATCTAATGTTGAAAAGGTGATAGATAAATCAATATGAAGGTTAAAATACAAAAGTAGTAAAAAATAACTATAATTACAATCATTTGTTAATAAATACACAAGAAAAAATTGACATACAAAACAAAGGGGGGGGGGAGAGTAAAAATTCAGACTTTTAGAATGCGTTTGAACTTCAACTGCTACCAAGTTAAAACAGACTGTTACAAATACAAATCATTTTAGGTAAGCCTCATGGTAACCACAGAGCAAAGAACTATTGTAAATACACAAAGAAAATAATAAAGAAAAAAGCATCTAAGCATACCACTACAGAAAAACCATCAAATCACAAAAAAGAGAGCGAGAAATGAAGGACAACGGTCCTTCAAAACAACAAACAAAATGGTAAGAAGTACACAACCAAAACAGCCAAAAAACAACAAAGAGCCAAAAATAAGCAGTAACTACAAACAGGCATATCTTGTTTTATTGTGCTTTGCTTTATTGCACTTCACAGATACTGCTTTTCTTCCCCACCTTTTCTCTTTACAAATTGAAGTTTTGTGGCAATCCTGTGTCCACAAGTCTATCGGCACCACTTTTCTGACAGCATTTGCTTACTTCATGTCTCTATGTCACATTTTGGTAATTTGCACAGTATTGCAAACATTTTCATTACTATTATTTTTATGGTGATCTGTCAACAGTGATTATGACTTGATGAAAGTTCAGGTGATGGTAAGCAGTCATCAGCAGTAAGTTATTTTTTAATTAAGGTATGTACATTTTTTAAGGCATAATGCAATGGCACACTTAGACTACAGTATAGTATAAACATGACTTTTATATGCACAGGGAAAACAAAAAAAATCCATCTGACTTGGTTTATTGCAATATTAGCTTTACTATGGTAGTCTAGAACCAAACCTGCAGTACCACTGAGGTATGCCTATACTTATGAGTAATTACTTTAAATGTAAATGGACTAAATTATCCAATTAAAAGAAATAGAGTGGCTTAATGGATTAAAAAAAACAAGACTCATCTATATGTTGTCTACAGGTGACTCACTTCAGATGTAAAGACACACAGAGACTGAAGGCAAAGGGAAAGAAAATGATATTCTATGCAAATGGAAACCAAAAGAAATCTAGGGTAGCTATACTTATATCAGACAAAATAGACTTTAAAATAAAAACAAGAGACAAAGAAAGGCATTACACAATGAAAAAAGGGTTAATCCAACAAAAGGATATAATATGTGTAAATATTTATGCACCCAGCATAAGAATACTAAATATATAAAGCAAATATTAACAAACCCAAAAGAAGAAATAGACAGCAATACAATAATAGCAGGGGACTCTAATACCCCACTTTCATTAATGGATAGATATCCTAGACAGAAAATCAACAAGGAAACATTGACCTTAAATGTCTTGTTAGATGATGGACGTGACAGATACACATAGAACATTCCATCTCAGAGCAAAAGTATATACATTCTTCTCAAAGGCACATGGAACAATCTCCAAGACAGATCATATGTTCAGCCCCCAAACAAGTCTTAAGATATTTAAGAAGACTAAAATCATATCAAGCACCTTTTCCAGCCACAATGCTATGAAACTGGAAATCAATTACAAGAAGAAAACTGGAAAACTCACAGTTTGTAGAGATTAAACAATATACTATTGAACAACCAATGGTCAAAAAAGAAATCAAAATATGTCTGGAAACAAATGAAAATGGGAAGACAACATACCAAAACTTATACGATGCAGCAAAGGCAGCTCTATAGAGGGAAGTTCATTGCAATAAATGCCAACATTAAGATACAAAAGACATCTCAAATGAACAATCTAATGATACCCTTTAAGGAACTAGAAAAAGAAGAAGTAAGCCTAAAGTTAGCAGAAGGAAGGAAATAACAAAGAGCAGAGCAGATATAAATGAAATAGAGCAAAAACACAATAGAAAAGATCAATTAACTACTGTGTTTTTCAAAAAATAGAAAAACTTTTGGTTAGATTCATGATAAGAAAAAGAGAGAAAACTCAAATAAATCAGAAATTCTACACCTGAAACTAACATTACACTGTATGTTAACTAACTGGAATTTAAATAAAAATTTGAGAAAGAAAAAAAAAAACCCAAACCCTGTCTTATTAGTTGTCCTGCCAAGACGAAAAAGCAGTATGGAATACAACTGTTATTATGTTGCCATCAGTTTTAAATATTTTAATGAATGACTTTATTGTATTTGTACCCTGAGGCTTTTTAAAGTTAAGGTCATATTGAAAAAAATAAATAAATTAAAAAAAAAAAGAAAAGACAGACATTACAATTGATCCCACAGATATACAGAGGACCATAAAGCACTACTATGAACAATTATATACACCAACAATTGGACAACCTGAAAGAAATGGATAAATTCTTAGAAACAAACACAGTCTACCAAGATGAATCATGAAGAAATAGAAAATATGAGCAAACCAATTACCAGTAAGAAAATTGAATCAGTAATCAAAGACCTCCCAATAAACAAAAGTCCACGACCAGGTTTCACTGGTAAATTCTACCCAACATTTAAAGAAGAATTAATACTAATCCTTATCAAACTCATCCAAAAAATAGAAGAAAAGAGAACACTTCTAAACTCATTTTACAAGATCAGCACTTACCCTGATACCAAACCACAGAAGGACAGTACAAGAAACAAAAATTATAGGCCAAGATCCCTGATGAACATAGATACAAAATCCTCAACAAAATATTAGCAAACCAAATTCAACAATAACTTAAAAGGATCATATGCCATGATCAAGTGGGATTTATTTCAAGGGTGCAATAATGGTTCAACATCCACAAATTAATCAGTGAGATACACCACATTAACAAAATGAAGGATAAAAATCATGATTACCTTAATAGATATAGAAAAAGCACTTGATGAAATTCAACATCCTTTCATGATAAAAACTCTCAACAAACTGGGTATAGAGGGATGTACCTTAACATAATAAAGGCCACAGCTATGACAACATATGACAAGGTCTCAACATATAACAAGCTCACAGCTAACATCATAATCAACAGTGAAAAACTGAAACCATTTCCTCCAAGATCAGGAACAGGATAAGGAAGTCCACTCTTGCCACTTTTATTCAATATAATATTGTACGTCCTAACCAAAGCAATTAAGCAAAACAAAAGTGGGGGAGGGAGTTCATTCAAATTGGAAAGGAAGAAGTAAAATTGTCACTATATGCAGATGACATGATATTATATACAGAAAACCTTAAATACTCCATCAAAAAACCTGCTGGAATAAGCAAATGCAGTAATCTGTATCACAGGATACAAAATCAATATACAAAAACCAGTTGTGTTTCTTTTTTTTTTTTTTTAATTTTTTCAGTGTTTATTTACTTTTGAGAGACAGAAAGAGAGACAGAGCACGAGCAGAGAGAGAGGGAGACACAGAAACTACAAACTGAAAACTCTAAGACACTGATGAAAGAAACTGAAGATGACACCAGCAAATGGAAAAATATTCTGTGGTTACGGATTAGAAGAATATTGTTAAAATGTGCACACTACTTAAAGCAAACTACAGATTCAAGGCAATCCTTAGCAAAATTCCAATGGCATTTTTTACAGAATTAGAACAAACAATCCAAAAAGTTGAATCTAGAAATTTGTATCTAGAAATACCCCGTACGTATGTGGTCAGTTAGTTTACAACATAGGCACCAAAAATATACAAAGTTTATCTTCAATAAACGTGTTGGAAAAACGACAATAACATGCAAAAGAATGAAACTGGACCACTATCTGCACCATACACAAAAACTAACTCAAAATGGATTAAAGATTGAATGTAAGACCTAAAACCCTGAAACTCTTAGAATAAAACACAGAACGTATGCTCCTTGATTGGTGTTAGTGATTTTTTTTATTTGACCCCAAAAACAAAGGCAACAATAAGAAAAATAAACAAGTAGGACTATATCAAACGAGAAAGCTTCCGTACAGCAAAGGAAACCATCAACAAAATGAAAAGGCAATCTACAGAATGGGAGAAAATATTTGCAAATCATATCTGATAAAGGAGTAATGTCCAAAATATATAAAGAACTCCTACAACTCAATAGCAAAACCCCGATCGATCCAATTAAAAACTATCAGAAGATATGAACAGACATTTTCCCAAAGACATACAGATGACCAAAGGTACATGGAAAGGTGCTCAACATCAGTAATCATCAGGGAAATGCAAATCAAAACTACAATGATATATCACCTCACAGCTATTAGAACAGCTATTATCAAAAAGGCAAGAAATAACAAGTGTTGGCAGAATGTGGAAAAAAGGAAACCCTTATGCAGTGTTGTTGGGAATGAAAATTAGTATAGCCACTATGGAAAACAGTTAAAATTAAAATTAGATATACCATATGATTCAGAAATTCCACTTCTGGAAACAAAATCATCTATAGACTGAATGCACTCCCTATCAAAATTCTAATGATGTTGTAATAGAAAAAAATAAAAAATAAATAGAAAAAAATCCTAAACTTTGCATGAAACCCCACATAACCAAAGCAATCTTAGGAAAGAACAAAGCTGGAGGCATCACACTTTTTGATTTCAAACTGTATTACAAAGCTATTATACTATATTACATTCTCTTCTAAAGCTAATATATATATTGCTATAGCAATCAAAACAGTATAGTACTGATATAAAAAATAGATCTGGGAGATTGATACCTAGGTAAATACCTTTGTTAAAATTCATTACACTGTACTTTTAAGATCCGTGCATTTTATCACATGCAAAATCAATCTCAGTAAGAAACCAAACCAAAACGATAAACACGATATAAATGTGCAAAAAGAAAGCTCACATAACATAGGGCTAACCTCCCCAACAGATAAATTGTTTCTAGAAATCAGTAAGGTCAACTACCCCCAAGCAATAGAAAAATAAGCAAAGTACAGTTCACAGAAAAGGAAATAAAAGGAAACACTAAAGATTCTTAATCTCATTAAAATATTCTCAACTTTACTCATAATAAGAAATGAAAATCCTAAGTACACAGGAAGGATATTTTTCATCCATCATCATTGGCCACCCTTGGTTAGTGAAAGTATGGGAAAGTAAAGAATTATGGCAGTTGCTTTGGCAATATCTATCAGAAATATAATTGCATATGGTCTTTGACTCGGTAATTCCATTTCTGGGAACATACCATTCCCTCCCATCCTCAAAATACTCACATAGGTCCCAGTGGTAGGGACCACCACAGTATTTGGAACAGCAAACACTTAGGAACAACCATACCTGTGGCACATTGTCATGCTAACATACTCTCTAGCTGTGAAAAGGAGTTAGGGAGCTCCCTGGGTACTGAGATGCAAACGATTCCAGGATGTATTAGCCGAAAAACTCAAATGTCAGACGCCGTGTACAATATTCAACCTTTAGTGCAAAGGGCAGGGATAATAATATATGAGCACTTTTTCTTAGAAAGCACCTCTGCAAAATTAGCTAAGAAAGCACTTCGAGCGATTACCAGTAAAAAACAGATTACCAGTGAGGAACCAGGAAGATGGGGAAAGGAAAACAATGTTTATTCTCTACTTTTCATATTTTCTCTTCCAATTTTTAACCATGTAAATGTTTTATTTGTGTCAAATTTAGCATAGACAGAGAGGGAAAGGAAAAGGGAGGAGAGGAGAGAGAGGAGAGAGACAGAGAGGAGAGAGACGGAGAGGAGGGAATGCAAATGAGTAAATGGATTCTGGAAAGCCCAGAGCCAAATGCTCTTCAGCTCCTAAATATATGAGCAAAAGTAAAATCCTATTTTTTTTTTTTAAGTTAAAAAAAAATCTGGTTCAGGACATTATCAGTGGGTAGCCTTCTTTCTAGAGGGGAATTCAGAGGGGGAAGCCAGTAGCCAACTATTCCAAAGGCCACCCCTGTCGTGCAATAACCTTTGAGCCGCACCGCCCCAGGAGCTGCATCCCTCGAAACCTTCCTCTGAGCCACAAAGGGGAAGCTGGCTCTAGGGAAGACCCTCTTCCCGCAGGAGGACACGGTATCAGAGTGCCCTTACAGCTGTCGAAAGCAGCTACAGTTTATCACCCAGGGTGTGAGCCCCTCAAGTCCCTGCAAATGTCAGGATACATGGTAAATCCCAAAACAGCAGAAGGCCCCAGTATGGCCTAGTGACATCTTAGGAGTGAGAAAGCAGATTAGGTTAGGCCGCCTGGGTATTTTTTTAACCCCATCTTTCAGCTTCTAGAGGAAAAAAAAAAAAAAAAAAGAAAAAACCATGGACTTCTCTAATTATGCCACTATGCTTACCCACTCTGTGGAATTTAGAAAGTACTGAACTTGGGCTTCCGGTGTAGTGTCACAAGAAGCCTTGGGAACTGGAGAAGGTAGCTCTTTTGCTAGAGTTGACCCTTCCCGACAGACATGGTTCAGAGTCTTGACCCAGCGTAAGTTACGGCTTTGCCATTAGAACAGGAAGTTGAGACAAAGATTTTTAAAATACACATTATAAAATCTCTAAGGTGCTCTGGGAGGCCAGAAGACTGACCAGACATTGGTCGTTCAGTTCAACTACCGGTGAAGGACAGTTAGGAGAGCCGTATAATAAAGAAACGTTCACAAGCACAACCCTATTTTAGAAGAAACACCTAGTTGAGTGTCTGGATAGTATCAATTTTCAACTTCAGTTGAACTATATGAACACCCTCTGAAACGTGAGGAAGGCTCTTTTCTTTTACCTCGTCACTTGTTTTGTTTTGTCCTGTTTCACTTTCCGATGAACTAAAGCCAGGTTATGATTGGTTTACTCACAGCGTGAAGACAGAACACCTCCAACAGCCTCTGTCCAGCCAGCTGCACAAGGTGGTCTTCCAGGATGAATCTGTTGATCGAAGCGCCCCACGTGAGTATCGGTGCCGTAAAGCAGGCCGCAAAGCTGAGACTCCACCTACGGACAAGGAGGAGGAGTAATTCAACATTAGGTGCTTCTCGATGAGATTATGCCAAGTGAAAGGAGCCAGACCCAAAGAGACAAGTACCGTATGGCCCCACTGCTATGAGGTGCTTAGAGTCCTCAAACCCATAGAGACAGAAAGGAGACTGGGGGTTAACAGGGGCCCGGGGATGGGAGAATGGGGACTCAGTGTTTAATGGGTATGGAGTTTCAGTTTGGGAAGGTGGAAAGAGGTCCGTAGACAGATGCTGGTGATGGTTCCACAGCACTGTGAATGTACTTACTGCCCCTGGATTGTACACTTAAACCTCATTAAGACGGTAAGTGTTACGTTACATGTATTTTACCACAATTTTTTTTTAAAAAGGAAACTACCTGTAGTATTACATATTTTTTAAAAGGTAAGGTAGTTCTCATACAGAAGGAGGGCTCCATTGGATTCATGAAATTAATGTTCTTGGCCTAAAACAAGTGTGGTCTGAAAGAGTAATTCCCGGTCTCCCACTCAATGATAACATCCTTAAATCTAACATCCTCACGTTTTCAAGACCTTCTGACAGATTTCCAGCCTACCATTTTAAGAATTTTTTTTTCAACGTTTATTTATTTTTGGGACAGAGAGAGACAGAGCATGAACGGGGGAGGGGCAGAGAGAGAGGGAGACACAGAATCGGAAACAGGCCCCAGGCTCCGAGCCATCAGCCCAGAGCCTGACGCGGGGCTCG